TCATAATTTAAAGATAACTTCTTTGATTATAAATAATATAAATATAATAATAATATGATTATATTCCCCACAATATAACATAACAATATAATATCCGCATTCCTTAATAAAAATAAAAATGATAACAATAATAATATATGTATAATTTTTTAACAAAAATCCCGATTGCCAAGTAACTTTAATTAAACGATAAAAAAAATGAATTCCTCTGATTACCAAATATGGTAATAAAATTAATTGCCATCTGTGTGACATATTATTTCGAGGATTGTTACAAAGATAAATTTGAGTGTGATTATATACAAAATGGCGCTTCAAACATCACAGGAAAGTGAAAATACCAGTTAGAAGTGCCCACTTAAATCTGATGGGAAAAGCTTTATGTAGAAGACACCATAATAAATTAATTGTCAATGCTGCAAAAAGGCAGAAGATGGCTATTTATAAACAAGAATTTTCACACCCAAATCACAGAGAATATTCAGTATCCGCATCAAAGGATACTAATCCAATAAAACTATCTAACTGTTTAATTGAATTTTTTAACCTTTCACTTAACTCCATGATTCGTAATCATGATGTTAAAACCAATATTGATCCCTGAAATTCTTTTGTAATACCAATGTTCACTTTGTCTGGTTTTGTTGCAGCATGTCCCAAATGATAATTTAGAAGGCTGGTTTAAAACTAACATTTGGAGCATTACAATGGACAATTGTAGATGGAGCTTGTGATGTAGACAACATTGTTCATTTTTTCTAAATATTTATTTGCAAATCTACATTAAATATATGCAAACTTTCTTTTAGGAGTGAAAGTTGCTCCTGAACCTCAGGTGAATTCAGAAATCTTGAGAGAGATGACCCTAAAATCAAAAACATATAGTATCAAAACTCATGAAAATGAATTTAATGAATTTGTAAAACCTAATCGTTTAGAAATAGTAAGCTTCCTTCATTCAGGCAATATAATATAAGGGTCTCTCTAAGTGTCATATGTTTTCTTTCTACGCTCCCTTCTCACGAATATTTTTCCAGGATTTAATTTACAATTATAATAACATTTGTTATAATGACAATCTTGTTATAATGGCATTTTTTAAAAAAACCATATTTATGAATGTAAATTTACTCCATTATAATGGCACTCACTAATATATAATATAATGTCATAATTTGTCAAAAAATTTTTTTTTATAATTATAGAATTTATTCCGTTATAATGACACTTGTTATAACGACGTGTCCTGCAGATCAATGGGAGTTTTATATATATATGCACTGATTTTGTTTGAACCTTAAAATTCAGTGGTATGATCATAACGTAAAAATGCATTGGTTCGAGTAGTAAAATAGTTTTTTTTTGGCGGAGCAAATAAAATTGTTTTGACCGGTTACACAGTAAGATAACACATGCAAGTCGGATGTAGTAATCAATTGTTTAAAATAAATAAATGACCGACCTATCGGGTTTACATGAACCTATTTAAAATCAATTACTCAAATAAATTTATCAAGAAACAGAGAATTTACGAAAATAATTAGTTTATATGGAACATACCAAACAAAATCCCAATTATTTTATTGGTTTTCTTTTAGCACCAGAACCCAAATGGGATTCCAGAGTCTCCAATTCCATTCTGAATTGCAACCTCCGAGCTTGAAAATCCTAATATTTACAACCTTTCAAAATTCTGCAATCTCCCGAGTTGCAATTCCCTGGTTGATTCGTCATTTTTACCCTAGAAACCTGGCAACTTTTCAGCTAAATTGCTTATCTTGGTTCAGGTACTGCAAGGGAAAATTAGGATTCACAAAAGCGTCCTTGACAATGATGTAGTTCCAGCAACGTTAGTTCAATTGCATCGTTGTATCATCGAGGGGACAAGTCAAATTAGCCTTATGTACATGAGGAAAGTGAGAATGATTGTAATAGTTTTAATAAAGTAGCATTTGTACTTTAGCATTTGTAAATTTCCGATAAAATTGTTTTCCGCTTAGGTGCAATTTCCCATCCCATATTCAATAATCATGTTGCCTTCTTTACCCTCAATGCTTTTTTGTGATCGTCTAAGCTCTCTATAACGAACCTTCCGATTCAATTTTTTATAATTAATTTCTTTCTATATAACGAACAAAAGCAGAAAAATTACATATAGGGACAGAGGGCTCGATGTAGAGAGCTTGGACTGTATTAATAACACCGATTGTTTATTATCATGATAGAGAATCTTAGGAATTACCTAAAGACATGACAATAAATATTTATTTATAAAAAAAAAAAATTATATAAATATATCAATACAAAAAAAAAAGGTAACCTCTGGTCGTTAATAAACAATAAGTAACACGTCTTCTTTAGAGTCATACCAAGTAACATTCATATTTTGTCGTTTTGGAAAAAATTGGTTTTCAATTAATCCGCGTGTCCCAAAATAAAAAAAAAATTTTTTTTACGAGTTTTTTTTTTTAGAAACAAAATGCCAAACAAAAAAACCAAAGGAAAAGAACTTGTTATTTCAAAAGAGTAAATAGCACTACAGGTTGTTATTTTTAAAAAGGATGGTGGGTGCGGTTGTTCGCGACTTGTCATTCTAGTTATTATTAAAAAAATGGTCGCGATTATTGTCCTTGATATTCTGGTTGATTATTTATCACTGTTTTTTATTTAATTATCAGTGGTAATAAACAAGTGGCAGTGAATTTGCCACTTGAGTTTTAATCGAAATCTCTGAATACAATGAGGATAATTATATCAATAAACGATGGCACAACATTAGTATTAAATGTTATGGAGATATCCATTTCATTCTTTTGAGAGCATCAAAGTAATAATTGATTGTTTATTGGGAGAAGACAAGGATTTCCTAACTAGAACAACATTGAATTAAATTTTAAACCATCAGATATAATTATACTAGATTTTCTACCAGACTTAGTTTTTCCAATTATTTTTATTTACCGGTAAAAAGTGGATTTTGGAGCATTCAATAAATATTAGAGAATTGGGTGCTTACCAGATAGATCTATATTGGGTAAATGACTATTTGATAATTGCTTTCTAGATTAATTGATAGAGCTGGATTTATAGACAAATTAATAAATATTTGCAAAGGTATCCAACCATTAAAAATACATTATGATGCATATAACAAAAAAAGCTGAAAGTTTGATTCAACTAATTAAAGTACAAGATCAAATAAAACAGTTAACTATTAATTCATCTCATAATCAGATAATTTCAAAAAAGCAATGCTAGTACATTCACAATCAATAATCTATTTATTATTCAAGTGATGAAAAAAACAATATATGTCATATTAATATATTAATACCAACACTTAAAAACCTAAAGACTTTATTATTATCAATTGATAATTACAAAATAAAATATTTGAAATATATTTCATTGCCAAACATTGAATCTGTGAACTTAAATATTATTTATAATAATAATCAGTCAACTCTATCAGACTTGCCTGATTTTATTATGATCAATGGAAAAAATCTGAATCTTTTGGCTGATGAATTTTTGAGAAGTTATTTCAATCAATGGCACAATATTGTAAAAATCTAGTAGATTTATCAACATCATATAGGTGTACAGTAGAGCAGAAGTTAATGGAAATATTCAATCATTGTAAAGAATTAGCTTTAAAAAAGCTTTTTATATGTATGAATTAGATTAGATGATAGTAATAGAATTATAGCAGTTCTAAATCAAACATCAACAAAAAATTTAAAATCAGTATCTGTTGGTAATAAGGCTTTTAATCTTAGAGACAATTCTTGGGGGAGAACTTAAACCTTTTACAATAAGATTATTTGATTCATCAAAAATTAATGACCTTGAAAAATTTGATCAATATTTAGCATTTATATATATATGATTTTAATTGGAATATATATTTTTTTTATAATTATATCAATTTAACATTTGTACATATGTATATAGTTTAATTATTAAAGAAAACATTTATCGGACTTGGAATTTTTACTCCAAATAATTTGGCTGACAAACATTGACAAGTAGCAAAAGGCTTTCTTTGACCACCTAGAGAGATCTGAATCAGGTTGGGCCAGATCAACAGTCAAACAAACTCGGTTGAGCCGGGTAATCACTTTACTTGACCTATTTGGAGCTCTGGGTGAGACATTGTAAAATTGTGATGTAATGTTCACCTTGACTGGTTTTGTTGCGGCATATAAAATAATAAATAATAAATAAAAAAAATCATGTGGCTAATTAGCGATGCTAAATTTGATTGGCTGGCATGTCATAAATGTATAAAATTATTATTATATATAAATCGATCATATAAAGTTTTTTTTAAAATATTATTTTCACTTTAACAAAAAAAAAAACAATGACTTATACAAGTGTGGCCCGTATTTATTCGAATGTCAATCAAAACATGCCTCGCGATTATTGGGATTATGGCAAGTTGTTTTTTTAAAGATTTGTCATTATTATATATCCTAATATTGGTTGATTCTTCTCAATATTGATGATGTATTTATCACCATTATGTATACATCCAGATAACTTGCAAGTTCAATGGGGGTAATGATAATAAATTGCATGTCAATATAATTATTTGGAAAATGATGCGTATATTTTATGTTTATATATTTTTTTTTATGAATAAATTAGCGTACAAGATAATTATGAAATAGTACGCAAGATTGGTCGTGGTAAATATTCCGAAGTATTTGAAGGGGTCAACGTTATGAATAATGAAAAATGTGTGATTAAAGTTCTCAAACCCGTAAAGAAGAAAAAGATTAAACGTGAAATTAAAATATTACAAAATTTGGCTGGTGGACCAAATATTATTTCTCTTATGGACGTCGTAAGAGATCCCCAGGTAAAAATATACTGTAAATATATATAAAGAGATATATGATTCAAATTCAAATTTATATATTATAATATAATATAAATTATTATTTTATTTATTACTAGTCAAAAACCCCATCTCTTATTTTTGAATATGTAAATAACACCGATTTCAAAATCTTGTACCCAAAATTTACAGATTATGATGTTCGTTATTATATTTATGAGTTGCTTAAGGTATTGAGAATTTTATACTTTTATGATATTTAGGGGGTTTTTTAAGCATATATAATACTTATGTTAACAATTGTATAGGCTTTGGATTATTGTCATTCAAAAGGTATCATGCACAGAGATGTAAAACCACATAATGTTATGATTGATCATGAAAGACGCAAGGTATTTATTTGTTGATTTAATATGTATAATAAAAATTTAAATTTAAATCTAATCTTAATGGTGTAATTGATATGATATTCAATAATATATACTTTAAGTTGAGATTAATAGATTGGGGCTTGGCTGAATTTTATCACCCTGGTACAGAATACAATGTTAGAGTGGCATCTCGATATTTCAAAGGACCAGAATTATTAGTCGATTTTCAAGAATATGATTATTCTCTTGATATGTGGAGTTTAGGATGTATGTTTGCTAGCATGGTAAGATATATATAATTTTTAAATTTTGTTTATGAAATATAATTGGAGTTCTATATCCAACGATTATATATATATATATATTATTTTTTTCTATTTTTAATAACAGATTTTCCGTAAAGAACCATTTTTCCATGGTCATGATAATTATGATCAATTAGTTAAAATTGCAAGAGTACTCGGCACAGATGAGCTATTCGCCTATCTTGACAAATATGATATAGAACTAGATGCTCAATATGATGATATCCTTGGAAGGTTATTATTATAATTAATTGGTTTCATTCATTTATTCCATTATAACCATCACTATAACCATACATGTTTATTATTATTTGATAAATTCGTTATTACAGATATCCAAGGAAACCATGGAATAAATTCATAAATAATGAAAACCAAAAATTTGTTAGCAAAGAAGCCATTGATTTTCTTGACAAATTGTTGAGATATGATCATCAGGTATATATATTATATATATATATCAAAGATTTAAAAAAAGCATGTTTTCAAATAAATCAAAATTTAATAAAATAATGCATTATTGTTTATAGGAACGATTAACGCCACGAGAGGCTATGGTACATTCATACTTTGGTAAAAATTTTATTAATATATATTTTTAATTTTTTTATTTATTAAATTTATAAAAAATATTAATTTATTTATTAATGTATGCGTGTAGATTTAATAAGATAGAAAAATCCACATCATCATTAATTATAGATAACTTATTTTTGGAAATTTAATATTCCAATTCATACAAAAGATCATATACATATATTAAAAGTATATCTTATTATGTATATGTACAGAAATTATTAAATATTAAAGTTTATTTTTTCTATAATATATATTATTTATACCAATAAATCTGAAATATTAGGTTTAACCACTAAATGTTTTTTTATTTGTCCTAAATTATAAACGGTTTCTTTTGATGGATCAATAACAATTGAATTTTCCAAGAACGATCTATCTAACCCAGGATTTACCTTTAAAAAAAAAATTATATAATTAATATATTCCATCCAATATTGTAACATAATAATGTTATTATAATTTACTGCTTTGGTACTTACATCAAACACAAAATTACCAATTATCATTTGCATCTGCCCAGAACTTCTTATAACAAGCTTACCGATTTGACCTTCAGTATTGCTGTTGTCCTTATCTCCTAATTCATCAAAAACTTTATTTGATTTTTTTTCCGAATCATTACTATTATTATTATTAGTTTGTGACTGTTGTGATGTATTACTATTTTTTTTACGTGCATCTCCTACCCTTCCTTTGCCTTTATTATTATTGTTGTTGTTGTTGTTGTTGTTGTTGTTGTTGTTGTTGTTGCTGTTGCTGTTATCACTTTCTGAAACAGGCAATGTGTTTGCTTCAAATTTTGGGAGGATAGAGGGTAACTGGATACAGAAAAGATGTCCATTCTAAAAAAAAAGAATTAAATATTAAACCTTTTTTTAAAGATATAACATATGCATGTACACAAAAAAGTTCTTTTTTGTTGATTTTGCTTACTTCTTTGAGTAGCGAAGCAATTTCTTTTTTTTCCTTTAAATTTATTTCACGAGATTGGTCGATCTCCTTGGATAGTAATTCATTTTTAGCTATTGGATGGAAAAAAGAAAAGAAATTTCTTCTGCATTGGTTTCTATATATATTTTCTAAATGTTTCAACAAAATAACACAGCATATAATCTATTGACTTCTAATGTATAACAAACACACAAACACACATATAATATATATATGTAGATATATGTGTATATTTCTAGATATATACATATATATTTTTTGTTAAGAAATTTAATTTCTAGAAAAAAAATAAAAATAAAAACATACCGTCTAAAAATTTTTGAAAACTTTCATCTTTTTCTATAGTAAGTATATCAGGTGCCCATGGATCTTCACGAAATGAATCAAAGTCTTCTGCAAAATCATCATAATCTTTTTTCTCATCCATCATAGAATGTCCAAGTATTTTATTTGATCCTGTCATCACTTTTAATATTATATATAAAGAATGCACTAAAATTAAATCTTGATCATATTTATATAAAAAAATAGATAGACAGATATACAGATAGATAAATAATTACTTGGCACAGAACTAGCATGAGGACCGTATGCAAATGGACCAGATGCTTTCATCTCTGTTACGAATCTACTACGATCACGCATTCCTACTCTCCAAAAAAAACATCATGAAATTATTTTTTGATAATTTAGTTATCAAAATCTCATTATTTTTTCTATTTCAAAAATACCTCGACCCATTCTTCCAATTGATCCATGACTTTGACCCTACCAACATATATTTATAAATATATATTTTTTAAATAATAAAAATAACATTATAGATATATTGTGATTTCTGTAAAATAAACCAACCCCAAATGATGGATCATTATCAAAAAATTCTGGTATTATTGCGTCTGCAGTAATTGTTCTTGTTGGAATCAAATAAATAAGGTGTATAAGTAAAATAAATGATTTTATACAAGGATCAAAAATAATCCAATTCAAATAAATAAAAAATAAAAACTAACGGTTGAGGCCTTCGATGTGCTTCCGGTACAGTAGGAACAAATCTCATTTTCTGTGTTCCACGAAGTGTCACCCTTGAAGAGGTTGGTAGAAAGTAATGACCTGTTGGAATGGTTCTAACAGATGCTAATCTGCCAGGAGCAGGTAATTCTGGCTGTAATGAGCCAAGTCTCCTAGCGGTGCTATTATTACTAGAAGCTGAGCTTAAAGAAGGGCTAGGCGATGCAGTTCTACTTGGCAATTTATCTTTAGGATCCATTATAATAATGAAAAAATAAATTATCGATGAACAAAAAATTGAAGGTTTGAAAGATGTCGTCGAAATACTTTCTGCAGATACTTTCTAAATTTTGACTAGTTACACGATACAATTTTTTTGGAAATAACCTATATATTTTAGAAAGATATTTAAGACACGCCATCCTTGATGTATTGAAGATTATTTTTATTAATCTTCCATTTAGAGAAAATACATTGATGAAAGAGTTCGTCTGATCGCAATACTTTTATTCCCATTGATGAACTATTTTGTTTTTTTTTATATAGTGCGCAGAAATTAGGATAAAGAATATTTAAAAAGTCTTATTTAGTTCGCACTTAATTTGTGATAACAAAAAAAATGTCTTCCATTTTTCTTGGATTAAAACACATCTTCCTTCATGAATTTGACCGTTTTACATTAAAGCTGTCCCAATAATAATACATATAGAGAAGTGAGATTTAATAAATATGGCGTGTTCAATTTACGAGGACTTGTACGTGGGACGTTATCTTTATGAAAATAATCTGGAGTATGCATGTTATCATTACTGTCATTATTTATTATATTAACATCATATTTATTTAGAACATGCTGTGTTGGAAATTACCTCTTCATTATGCATTTGCACTAACCGGTGACGTTGAAAACATGTTTGCTGAAGGACAGGTACATGTTGCAAGGAGTCAATCTCCTTCTTACACATTTTAGGTTTTGACTATTCTCAATTAAAGATTTCTAAACATGCATTGGAAGAATATAAAAATTAACATTCATGGTTCACAGAATTTAGAAAAACAATATTCTTGACGTCTGAATCTTGTTATTCATAATTCTTTATTTACATTATTTACATTTTCTTTGTGGACGTACTCCCTTTCTGGCGATAATAATTCAAGGCTATAGATGGTTGCCTCTCTTAATAAATGATTGTCATCGAAGCTAAAGTGTCGAAACTAGCTTTTAATAATAAGAATAACCAAAACTAATTTTCATAGTTGATCTGAAAATTTAGACTTTTTAAACTAAAATAAACCAAATAGCACAATTATTTTATGACTAATTCATATAAAAGATATTGAAAAGCTGAAGTTATTGCCGAAATCACTTTTTTCTAAAAACAATTTAGGCAACCATCTACGCTCGAGACAGATCTGCGTACAGTTATATATACAACCTTCACGAGAATGCTAATAAAGTCATTTTTTTTTCAGTAGAGTTGAAGTATTTTATTGATGAATTCAGACTAAAAGTGAAAAAGAAGGGTAAATATCAGCATGCACATTGAGAGCACCGGGAGATGAATCTTGAAGCAAACTTTGGAACAAATATTACAATAGCCTTACTGACAATCCTATCAGGGAAATCATGTGAACAAAACAACAATTGAAAGTATACGTGAATATTCTGACTTTATACAATCTTTATTGAATCTATCAGAATATTTTGTTGCTTTACAATTATTGCATTCTCTTTGTTTGTCCAACTTATAGACTACATTACCTAATTCGCAAACCTTTCTTTATAATTTTTACATAATCATTTATTTTTTTTCTATTTTTTTCTATTAGAATTAACCAGAACATTATTTCATTTTCAAATAATATTATGTGAATTGTTAATTTGACTTGATTAACTTATTGTGTAAAGAATCAATTGTTTTGGCAAAAACAATTGTTTATTCATTTGCATTGCCTCTGTCTTTCAATCAAGGCTCCGAACGAATCGAATCGAATCGAGTCAAATTTTAAAGTGATTCGATTCGAATAAAATCGGATTCCTAATTTTTTTTTATGTCATATTCAACAAATATATGAGACACATAAGGGATTCGAAAATTCGTTATTACCAATCACGTTTCAACAAATTTTATATGTTGAAGCAAAAATTTTTAAAAATCTCGTAACGCGAATTTAATGTTGAAACGGGGTTTACTATACTGTTAATATTAATAATATTAATATTAACGATAACAAATGAAAAGTAATATAATTTACACTTGCAATAATAATAAATATAACAATGATGAATGATGTCTCTTCAATAACTTCTTCAACAGGTACAGTGCAATGGGCCCAAAGAAGAACAAGAAGTGAATTGTGAAATCATTCACAGTTGTAGATAGAAAAGTTAAATGCAATTATTGCACTAGGTAAATTTTTTTTTTTTTTTTGACTATCGATACTATTTATTTCCAAAGGCAACTCTTTTAAATTACGCAGAATTCATATGGTGTACATATATTTGAATTGGATTCAAACCAGAGCATTATCATATTTGATTTGAATGAAACAAATCAAAAAATTAGGTGATTTGAATTTCATTGATTCATTCAGAGCCTTACTTTCAACACTAATTGCAGAGAATTGAATTCATCATCCTGAATTTTAGATATTACAAATAACATACTTTTTCTAGTGTTAATAATTCACATTTTTAAATAGTTTATTTAATATTAATGCAAAATTCCTTTTATCAATTTTATCCATAAGTGCACCCTCTATAAATGCACACCCTCATACTCTGCACTGCACAGTTTTTTTTCAGTCCGCTCATATGAAAACTCTCTCCATAAATGCATCTCACGTGACCAATTTATAAAATTCATCGTGTAACTATATAGGATAATCGCCAGCATAAATTTTTGATTTGATTGGATAATTTCCAAATATATAATACAATGAAAGAAAATAGTTTACATATTTTTATAACAAAGGTCAAAATTTTTTGTTATATTACAATCTTTGTAATTTATAATGAAATTATATATTTTTATTTATTGCTTTATATTTTTACAATGAAATTATTTGTTAATTATTATCATAGCTTTGTAATTATACAACGGAAATATTTGTCCATAATTTTTATTACAGCAAGAGAACAAGTAAAATTGGTTAATAAAATCGAAAGACATATCAGTGCAAAAAAAGTAAATTCATTCGAAACAAACTACAATGGATAGTTATTTTAATATTAATTAAGTTTTTAAATATTATAAATAATAAATATAAAAAATTTTTTTTTTAAAAATATTGTGCATAACGTGCAACCAATGAAATTGCTTCTCTCTATTAGTAACAGCCATTTTTGATTCTCAAGAATTGACGGTGTGGCGCAAAAAGTTGTGGCTTGCACCATACCGTGTAACATATACTAACCGTCAATCAAAATTCGAAAACTTAGTCATGTGAGTAAAATATCACGTGAAACTAAGGTTGTAATTAGTGTGTACCTTGCCGAAACTACCAATTGCCAAAAACCCCACATGAGAGACTCTAATAAACAATTAGTTTATAACCTGTCGAAACTCTGCCAATTGATTTTGGAGGAGTTTTGGCAAACAACCATACATGAAACTGACTTGATTATTTAACATGGTATGGAATCAAAGATTTCACTATGCCCTTCATGAATTATATGATGGACAATCTGTGAGTGTTACCAAGCATTCTAATATAAAAAAAAAAGAATCAAGAAATAATTAATTCGTTTAAAACAATAATTTTTTTATTCGTGTTTTAGTAATTTAACCACTGGAGTGGTTTCACGACATAATGTTCACTTTGTCTGATTTTTGTTACTATACAATCAATCACTCTTGTATAATTTAGCCAAACATAAAAAATATAATTAATAATTAATAATATATATATAATTTCATTTTAATTTATATTATAATTACATCCTCCATAATTATTATATGAGGTAAATATATATATGGTAATGTTAAATGATAATGAATATGTATTTTTTTAAAAAATAAAGTCAATGATTATGCAAATGCCCAAAAAAATAAATGCGAATATAACCTAATAACCTAAATAACATTATATTCTAAAACCCACCCATGCAATCTATATATCTATATTTAACAATTAATCATTAATATTATTTTTAGGTACAAGTTGCAAATTGTGCCTTCTTCAATGAGCAAGTATCATTTTTATCTTTTAATGTCAATAAATAGTATACAATTATAGCTAAAATGATTGCCCAGATCCAAATCTGTAATTTCCATAAGTTGTTCATTTCAATAATAGTAATAGTAGTAACAGTAGATGTTATGATTCGTCGATTAGTTGGTTGATCAGTTGATTGATTTGATTGTTGTTAGTTAGGTGAAAGTGGTTATCGAAGTAAAGGATCAAAGGTGGTTTATCATGCAAAATAAATATATAGAAGACAAATAGTTAGTGAAATATTACAAAGAAAGAAAAGAATAAAAAAAGGATTTTTGATGAATAAATTTGTATATATGATTGATTGCATTATTATTAATGAAAGTAATGATTTGAAAATGCCCTTATTTGATTCGAACTACTAATTTCTAAATTCCCAATATCAAGATTCTTTATAATAATGATGTAAAAGAATGAATGCATTTATTCTTTCATATATTTAATTCTATGAAGCTGAAAATATCTATCAAGGTTTTGCTCATTATTATTATATTATTATTACTATTTTTACTGCTACTCACTCTTTTAGTATAAGACATTCCTTTCAGCGCCAATAGGTTGTGGGATTTCGCTGGGAAATAGAACTTGATGTTCTTCTCATAAACATTGGAACCACCAAAGGCTTTACGGATCGCTGGGATGACTCGTCCTCTTCGTTCATAGCCGCTTGATTCTGTTTCATCAGGTCGGATAAAAGATTGGACTTTTGGAATGTGTCTTTGTTCCAGGTTAGCGTGTTCTGTTGTGGCAGAATGAATTGGAGAGTGACATCATTGTTATCTATAATTGTCATATACAATAACAATAATAACAACAACACAATTGTCAAAAAAAAAAAAAGTGAAGGGGAAATAATATAAAATAATAATATTCTATCTTTCTTTTTATCTCTTGATTCTTTTTTTCAGTGAAAGAATTTTGAAGCTGTATGGTAATATCTACAGAAGGAGAAAATAATAATCTATTTTTTTTCTGACAAGCATAAATAATGATATATACATACCAACAAGGAATCTTTTATATTAAAAAAAAAAGTAAAAATAAAAGTAATCAATTAATAATTAAAGTTCGCAATAGTAATAACAATAAAAGTAATTAATAAAAATAGTAATTGAACTAATTGCTGCTACAGCAATTGTTGCCAATTTCTCTCTTCCTTTTTTATTTTTTATGCGTATGTGTATCTATATCACCTACTTTGACAATTCAGCCCATCCTCCGCCAACTCTAACCATTACCATTCTACTTTTTAAAATACGACAATGACAAAGTTTAGGCTCAGCCTCTCCAAACATATATTTTCCAGATTCTCTCTCTACGACGGAAACTTTTATTTTCACTGGGGATGCATTAACTATCCTTGCCACCTCAACATCTAATTGGACTTTTGGATCAGGTAAATAATTATTGACTATATGTGGCGATAATCTTGTTGCTGGTTTTTTTGGTGATCCTAGCAATCCTGATGTTGGACTTGGTGTTAATCTATTGGATTGACGATGTCTTGGTCCTGGCGATAATCCTGGTGATACCGCACCACGTTTCCTAGCTTTAAAATCCAATAAAAAGTGTCATTATTATTAATCATCATTAGAAAACAATTATGACAAAAAAAAAATTTTTTACGTGATGGAGGTCTTGCAGATAATGATCTTTTTCTAGTTGGTGAAAAGTTTCTGTGCGGTGATAATGTTTGAGAATTGGATCTTGTACGCCTTTCAGTTTTAATATTTTGTTCTTCAGATGGTAATTTTTTCAATTCATCTTGTTTGGCATTTGTCACTTCAGTCAATTCTGCCCATTGTTCCTTCAAAATACTCAATCGATCAATTACTCGCCAATCATCTTTAACCGATTCTGATACTTGTTTTACATCTTCAAGTTTCTGATCTATTTTAGGTTGGTAATGTGAATATTGCTTTTCCAACTCAATCGACCTTGCATCCAATTCTATTTTATTCAATGATGATAATGGTGATCCATCCATTGTTGTTGTGGCTAAATCAACAATTTCAAGCAGTGAGCTCATCAATGTATTCATTTCATCTGCCTTAGTACCGAAAATTGCCAATTTCTCAGCTTCATGTAGTTGTGATCGTTTGTTATCCATTATTCCTGCCAAATTTGTCAATATTTCTGCTATACCTGAACGTTGTTGAACGAAACTGGTTTCATGCTCTGGTAAATTGTTGATATTTTCATCTAATGCTTCAATTCTTGGTCCAAGTATATGATCAACTTCAGCTTGTATTTCATCAAGTTCTCTTAGGTTGTTTTCAACATCATCTTTTGTTGGTAATTTTGGTACTCCCTCATCAATAAAGAATGATTCAATGTTCAAAACTCGTTCTTTCACTTGATCAATTGATGCTAAGATATCTTTGATGGCTTTTGAAACTTCTTGTACTTCTTTAGATGCATTCAAGCTTGATCTTAAACTTTTCAATAAATCTGTTAACGAATCCCAATCTTCTAACACTTTATTTGTTCTGGCTTCTACAGCATATTTAATTTTAGGTTCAATTTCAACATTATTATTGCTAGTGGCATTAGTATCATTAACGATGATTGGCAAAATAACACGTTGACTCATATCTTTATAAGCATCAATAGTAGGTTGAAAAGTCATTGCATTTTCTTCTAATTCTTTGATTTCTGCTTCTTGATCCATATCACCAACTTGAATGTTTAATGCAGCCACCTTACAAGCTGAAATCCATTTCTTAATATCTTCTGATGCTTCAGTTTGTGGATAAATTTTCTTGGCTGTTTCAATTTCACATCTCTCAGCTGAAATACTATTTGAAAAGTTTTCCAATGCTCGCGTAGCTTTATTTAATATGCTCTGTACACGATCCTTATTTGCTTCAGGATCCATTTTGATTAACTTATCAGCCTCAGCTTTCAAGTTAACATTTATTTGTGCTTCATATTTCTTCAGTGTTCCCTCAATATCTGAAACTCCAATCATGGCATTATTAATCAGATCGTTCAATTCACTGGCTTTCAATGAATAATATTCACTATCATTGAACTCATTATGTCTCGATTCAACTTTTGAGGCATCTTCCAAACATGCATTAATAATTTTATCAACATCTGCATCAAATGTTGTCAATAATGAAGCATTATTGGCTTTTTCTATTGCTTTTTGAAACAGATTTGATAATTCAGTAAGCTGAGTAGTGATATCAAAAAGATGCTTATTAAAATTTTGACGATTTGTATTATCTAAAATATCATTTTCAACATCAACTATCTGGCCAGCACCAAATTTGGCTGCTTCGAGCATTTTTTTAGCATTTTGTAATTTGTCATCCAACCCTTTAGCTTCAAATTCTAAATTGTCATAATGTGTACTAGGTAATTTATTGATACAATTCTCAAGTCCGTCAAAAATATCATTCTCTACGTGATATATAATATCATGTTGGTCATGCCATTTTCCAACTTTATTGATGAAATCTTTGAATTCATTTGATTTTAAATCCAAATTTTCCCACAATTTATTCAATTCTGTTTGTGCCTTGACTACATCCTGCAATTCACGTATGTCTTCTTGTGATGTGATATTATTAAATTCTTCTATTATACTATTGAACTGTTCAAATTTCTCTGGCAATTTTTTTTGGAAATTATCAAATACTATAGACAAGTTTTCAAGATTTTCTTTATTTGTTTGCTCAGATGTCTCCACCATTATACCATGTTGTGACTGACCATTGATAAAATCCTCAAATTGTCTTTCAATCCAACTTTGTAAATCATTAACTCTAGCCAAATATTCCCCAGTGATTTGTGCTGATATGTGTGCCTCAACTTCATCAATCTTATTGTTCATCAATTTCTTTAGATTATTGATCTTATCTGCAACATTCCTTAATAGATCCTCAAGAACAACTGACTCTTTCTTGGTAATTGCTCCAAGATTTGTTGAAAGACTCTCTTTGACATTATCATGTAGCTTAATCAATGAGAATAGTTCCGTTTGCTCTAAACCATTCAATTCAATTTGCCAATCTTTGATGTCATCCTTGCTCACCTCATCCACCAATGATGATGATATTATATCAGATAAGTTGTCAACTTTGGAGAAGTTTTCTTTGATCCTCTCTTTGAAATCAACTACTTGTAATGCCTGATCTAATTGTTGTTTGGTTTTTGGTATAGTATCTTGTAATTCTTGCCATAAAGCATCAATTTCCACTTCTTTAGAATTTAATGCTTCAATACCAAGATCAATATCTCCATCACTATTGTTGTTGTTGTTAGCAGCAATCTCTTTGTTCATTTGGTTTACTAAATCATTTGCTAAATTCTTAACTTGCTCATAAAAATCAGTATATGCCTTTTGTTCTGATTCAACAAAATTGACTTCTTCTAATAAATCATGTAGTTTGTCTTCACTAAGTTCGCCCAAAGTATCATCTTTCAATATATCATCAAGAACTTTTAAATGTGGATTCACCCAATCAATAATGCCTTTGGCCTGTTTCAAAAAGTCATTGATTGCGTCATGTTGTTCCAAAACATTTTTACCCTGATTTACTCTATCCATCAAATAATCAAATTTCTTTTCAAAATCTGATTGACGATCTGATAAATGCTTTGGACATTCCTTTGATAGTAAGTCTTTGATTGCTGAAACCATATCTTCATTTGATGATTTCAATGGTTCCAATACATTTTCTTGAAAATCTTTTACTTTTCCTGCCAAGGTTTCAAACTCTTGTTTCAGATCTAATTTTGTTTCCTCTGGAATTGGTTTATTTACGTTCAAACTTGCCCCTTCTTCATCCGAGCTTATATTCTTTTCAGTTGAAGTTGGTTTATCATCTTTGCCAGTATTTTCTTCCAAGCTGTGAGATTTTTGTTTTGAATCTAATTTTGGTTCTTTTGCTGTTTTATCATCAATAGTTGAAATAGTAGTCGAATCATTAGTTACTTTATTTTCATTTGAAGCAACTTTACCTAGATTATCAACTTTACCATCATCATTGGTTAAAATATCAACAGGTGTAGTGCTATTATTGTCATGATCATCAGGTTTCCATCTGGCTTTTTCTGCAATGAATTTGTTAACTTCATTAATTAAATCATTCAAAGATTGCATTCCAGGAGCAATTTTATCTTCCCAACTAGCACATGGCTGTAATACTGATAGGTCTAATTGTCTTTCTGATGTTTTTAATTGTAGTTCAGCAAACTTTTCATTCAACTTTTTAAAAGCATCATGTAAATGTATCTGATCAACAGGATCATCATTATTTGATGACTTGATGTCCTCGACCAATTTCTCAATACCTTCTTTAATTTGATTAATATCCTCCAAATCAATTCTATTATTTTCAGCTAAAAATTCTTCATGTTCTTTCAACAATTCTTTCACTTGTTCCTCATTATGTAAACATTCAGTTTCCAATGGATCAATCTTACGTTCCTCAAGCATTGCCAATCTTTTGTTGACCAAATCTTCTAAATTAGAAATATCATTAAACAAGTCATCTGATTTTTGTTGTAATTCCTTCTCGAGTAGTCTAAAAGCATCTTGATAATCTTTCATTGCTTTGTTAACTTTAAACTTCAAGTCTTCCATTTTACGATGATAAGCATCAACACCTTCCTTGACCAAATGATTTTCATTTTGATCATGATCTGAGTGATCTGGGTAGATAACTTTTTCACCAATATTACTCCAAGCTTGTTCAATATTTTTATTAAATTCCTCAACTCTTTCTATGAATTTCTTTTCTATGAGACCACCTCTTGGATTTCTTTCTTCTTCTATTAATTCATTTTTTAATTTCAAGCCATCAATATAAGTAGTTTCACTGACTTGAGCATACTCTAAAACTTCTTGACGTTGCTGCAAAACATTTCTACAAAATTCAAAATATAATTTTAAAAATACCAGATCACTTTCTTCAAGGTTTTCTTGTCGTATAAGTAGATGTTCAGGCACTTCCACTAATGAGGTCTCCACTAATTCATCAAATATTTGCCCAGTTTCAGGTATGTTGACACTTTCAAAACTTATTACATACTGATTTATTGATTCTAATTCAATTAACACATCTTTCTGGTTTGGTTGATTAGCATTAATGAACCATCCATCATCATCTCTTATACCAATTGGTTGTTTCCATCTACCTCTGTTTATAATAAAATCTTTAATGCTGTTTATCAATATATTCCATGTATTTAAAGCTTTAGCAAATTCACGTTCCCAATCTACTCTAAGTGCCAACACAGATAAATCATTTGATCTTTGTTTCGATAATCCCAATAAAATATCAAGTTGCTTAATTGTTTGTAAAGTAATTGCAATTGTCATTGTATCAGCAGGCGACATTGCTTCATTAATCTGAGAATTAATGTTACTATTTCTGTTACTACTACCATTACTGCTGCTAGTATTGGTGCTAGGATTGGAGGAGGTGTTAGCACACATCATGGATTTGACATGAGCTCTTAATCTAGTCATATCTTCAGCATCAAATTTCTCAACTTCTAATTCCAATTTATCATAATCATCTTGCCATTCATCAACCTGTTCTTGAGTAGCAGGTACTTTACCTTCTTGAAGAGCGTCAAACTTTGGAAAATTTTCTAATACCACAATGTGCTTATCTATCCATACACGCATACGTTCAGCCTCTTTGAACCAAATTTTTACTTCTTTAATCCAAGCTTCTACCAAATTAAACTGATTTAGTTGTTCATCAAATCTTTCACGGTACCTTTCATCTCCAACATCAGGAGCTATCAAATGTTGATAAGCTGATTCAAGATTATTTAACATTTCCAAGGCATCAGCCATATGAGCATCTAATTCTTGTATTGAAGCATCAGTCTTGGTATCTTGACGCCTCATCTTACCCTTTATGATGTCAAGTTGATCTCTGATTGCATTAGCACTTTTTGCAAATTTTCTGCCTTCTCTAATCGTTTGTAGATTATTTTGGCGCAAAATCATCAAATCTTTAATATCAGCAAATGTTTTCTCTGCCTTATTAATTCTACCAATCACCTCTTCACCACGTAATCGTTTAGCAGGTTCAGACTTCAACCAGAATTCTACCCATAAACTTCTCTCAAACAGAATCAATTCAGATTCTATCTTGTTATAACGTTCACTCCACTCTTCAACATGATCATCATTACATGTCAAACCATGAACTTGTTCAGGCTCCACCTCTTCTATTCCTTCTTCATTATTTTTATCATTTGTACAATCATGATCTGTATCATTGTCAATACCACTATTATTTGTGTTACAGTCCAACATGTATGTTGGAGGAGAAGATAATCTTGTATAGAAATTTTCTAATTTTTGTTCAATTATGTTAGCTAATTTATCAAATTCAGAATTGGCAGAAGTAGGTGATGAGGGTGATGAAGGTGACAAGTAGGCAGCCATTTGTAATTTGTTTTCAGCCAAAGCAATCTTAATATTTTGTATAGTTAATAATAACTTCTTATGTTTATTTTTTAAAGCCTTTACTAAACCAGGTGAAGTAGTATTGGTTTTTTTAGTTGTGGTGGTGGTGGTATTCATAGTTGGTGTGTTATTGTTATTATTATCATTGGAATTTTCTGATGATTCTGTTTTATGAGGTAATTGTTTTTCAAAATTTTTTATTTTTTCTTCAACATTTATAACATCATCTTTTACCATGTTAGCATCATTATGTTCAATGATTGATTTACGAATTTGAGTTATTTCATTACGTAAATTTTGTAAATTTTCCAAAATATCAATTATCATTAAAAAGCTTTCAACATTAGTTTGCAATAATATATTATCAATGAATTTTTTTAATTTTGTTAATTTTTCCTTTAGACTTTTTAATTGCTTTTCCATCAATTCTATTACTAATAAATCTTCTTGAGAATTTTGAATGATGATTGAGGAGTTGTTTGATGATACTGATGAGGTGGTGGTGGTAGTGGCACTGGTAGCAATAGGGGAGGCTGGATCGGGAGAGTTGGAGGAGGGTTGATGATTTAGCATTATTGAATGGAGGTCATTTGATTTACGTTCCAAATCTTTTAAACGTTCATTTTCAAATTGTAAAATATCTTGTTTTATTCCATAAATTATTCGGCGACGATCTTGGATCATATTTTCAATATTTTGTTTTTCATCAGTCCAATCATATTTATTTATTAGATCAGGTACTTCGAATTGTTTTACTCGTCTAAAAGTATCAGATATCCATTTGTCTGATTCATTTGAACCATCAAACCATCTTCCTATATGTCTATCTTGAGACAATGTTTGGCGAATATAATAGATTTTATCACTTAATAAAGGGATGACATGATTTACTATTTCTGTTACGTGATTAACCAAATCTATTGGAGCTCTGAATTTCTCATGTTGATAGAAGTTTATTAGTTCTTTAACTTGCTCATATACTTCATGCTTTAATAATTCATCGGCAGCAACTACTTTTGTGTACCATTCATCTAACAGGGAAGAAGAGAATACAATACTGGTGACAGTTATTCCTTCATCAGCGATCATGGAAGATGATGATGATGCAGAAGATGCCAATGAAGTTTTACTTGCTACATTAGTTATTACAGGAGTGTTGTGTAATGACGTGGCGGTAGGGTTAGTGCTAGAAGTATCATTACCGTTGTTATTGTTATTGTTGAAATTTGCTGTACTTGAATTAGGTGAAGATGTTAATAAACCACTATTATTATTTCGTGTTGCAAAAGTTGTCGATTCATCGTGAGTTTTTTTCCTTGATTCTTCAACACCTTCTAACATTACTTCAACCTTTTGAATTTCAATACTAATTCCTTGTATTTTCTGTAATAAATTAGAAGTCCAATTTAATTCCTGCAATTTTGATTTTGATAATTTTAGTAAACTTTTAAAACTTTCCCATAATAAGTTTAAAGATTTTAAAATATCATGATCTTTATTATTATTATTATTAGTTAATCTATTAAATTCATCGGTTTGTTTAATTATCAATTCATTTTCTAATTTTGATAATGATTCATCTAAAGGATTTATTAAATCTAGATCAATAATAAATTCATTGATATCAACAACTGGTTTTAATAATTCATGATTAATCAAAATTTTATTAAATCGAGAATTCATCCAATTAATCAAATCTTCGATTGATGAGATGAATTCTTTCTGCATTCCAGTTTCTTTTTCTTTTACAGTTGAAACTTCTTCAGTTATTTTCTTATAATTCAATTGAAATAAATTTTGTTTTTCTTTCATTTCCTGGTCAATTGTTGTCACCTCTTCTAATGGTAATAATAATACTCCTGTTGGATGAAGGTTCTTATATTCTTCATTATATTCTTCAAGATCGTCTATGGTTTCCACTGCCTCCGAATTAATGACACTACTCAAAACATTTTGTTCTTCTTCTTGTTCAATTAAACGTACATTTTCCATGTTTCTTAATTTCTAAAAGAGTAGAATCGTTAATTTTGGTTATGTTAAATAAGTTATAGTGGTTGAGATTATCGTTTGGTTTGTTTTTAAATGGTAGTTTGGTTGATGGTAGTTTGGTTGATGGTAGTTTGTGAATATGGGTATTAATGTGTGATTTGTTGTGATTGTGGTGGTGTTGTTGTTGGTGGTGGTGTTGGTGTTGGTTCTGGTGGTGGTGTTGGTGTTGGTGTTGGTGTTGGTGTTGGTGTTGGTGTTGGTGTTGGTGTTGGTGTTGGTTATTAATTATATATGTGGGATTTTTTATTTTTTTTTTAAAAAAGAAAATTCTAAATAACAAAAATATATATATATATAAAAAGAAAGATAAAATAAATATAAATTCTATAGTGTTTATTTTTATTTTATTAAATAAATTTTGTATATATTTGACAAGAAGAAGAAAAATCAATAAAAACACCAATTTTTTTATCTATTGTTATTTTTGGTGTTTATTATTGTAAGTTTTAAAGCAAAAATAAAATGAAGGAAGAGAATATTTAATCTTTTTTTATATAATTTTATAAAATGGTTATTTGGATAATTAATGAATGGTAATTTGGTCTAGTACATTTTATTTTGTTATTTAATTTTATGCAATAGGTAACCCAATTCATTTACCTGAAACTTATGAATTTGATGTTGCACATTGGTTTGGGTTATTATAAATAACAAACAAACTCATTATAGATATTTATTCGGTCAGATTTTCGGAGTTTTGAATGGTTTAAACAGGTAAACCCTTATTATTATTGATTACCAAAATGAATAATCAATTCAATAATTCAATTATCAAATTTGGCTAAAAAATTAATAATATATTTTTTTTTTTTTTGAATAAAAATTTATCCCTCAAAACCTTAATTTTTTTTAGAAAATTTTTTATAAATATATATATAATAAATTATTTTTTCTTTTTCCATAAAAATTACTTCTTTTATACCATAAACTTAGACTTTTCACAACCATGGAAGAAGCACTTACTAAACCAAGGAATGTTACCCATACTTTATATAAATTATACAACTGGTTGCAAATGGGAATAATTGACCTTAATCCTGAATTCCAAAGAGGTAAAGAGCCTTTTATACCATTATTAATATATGTATAAATGTATATATATTATAGTTTACTAAACAATATATATAATAAATTAAAAAAATTTTTTCCTTATTATTAATTTCTTACACCCACATAGATGTTGTATGGACATGTAACTATTATTTAATTAATACAATATTATCTATTAATATCAGTTATAATTTCTAATAAATAAAATTATTTTTTGGTAGCAATTAAACAATCTCATCTAGTAGATTCTGTTCTTAACAATTTTTATGTTCCACCAGTAATTTTTTCTTGTAAAAAATTAGATAACAAAAGATGGATCAGAGTATGCATAGATGGGAAGCAGAGGTTAACTGCCATCAAAAAGTAAGTAATGATTATTTGGTGAATCAATTATTAGTTAATTATCAATCTTTGACAACTTGCTATATTCACTAAAATTACACATATATCCTTTCATTTCATATATATACTCACAAACAATAGATTTATGGATGGTGAAATTCCCCATGTAAGCCCTTCTGATGGCAATGTAGCTAAAAGGTACTATAAAATTGTCAATGGCAAAAAGTCATTGACAGAACCAGAAAGAGAGCTATTTGACTGTTCCGAGTTGCTTTGTGGTAAGAGTATTTTACAATTATATGATTATATAATTATAATTATTTCATATATGTCTTAAATCATTACCATCTAACATTGTTTTCATTGTGCTAATTTTGTAGTTGAGTATTATGACCTTTCATTACAGCAAGAGCAAGAAATTTTTAGCCGTGTCCAATTGGGTGTTGCATTAACACCAGCTGAAAAATTACAAGCAATCAGTAGTCCAATGGCTGATTTTGCTCACTCCATTTTCAGCAAATATCCTAGTATTTCACTTATAATGGATACTAAACGTGCTAGACCATTCCAATTGATAACACAATCATTACATATGATTGAAAATGAACCTGAAAAATTCAATGCAACTCCTGCTGTCATAACTAAATTCTTAAAGGAAGAACGTCAAGTACCCTCAAATTTAAAAATCATTGCAGAGAGAATTTATCAAACACTTGAAGCAATGATAGCTGATAATTCTGATATATTTCATAAAGATAATCGATTGGCTCCTGTGGAATTTGTGTTCCTAACTTATATGATTGCAAAATATCCTGGTCTACTAATCTCCCATTATCAAAGTCGTCTATTAGCCATGAAAAAACATGTTCGTCAGAAACATGACGACATTCGATTCAATAATAAAGTTTATGACACATTAAAAAGATTTGTTGATGGTATGGAATCTGAATACATAGTCACTTCATCTACATCTACTTCATCTAAATCATTAGCATCAAATGGTGTGTTATACAAAACTGAATCAACCAATTATGGTGGACAACAATCATCTTCATCTAGGCCAAAAAAAAGAAGTAAAGTTACAAATAATTAATCAATTCATTCATTGCTTTCATTAAATCAATGATGATTAAGTCAAAAAAAGAAATTAATTTATACATGTACACAATTCTTATCTTAGTTTATGATCACCTTACATTTCCTTTTATTTATTTTTTTTTGCTATTAAAATAGTAATAATCTTTAATAATTAATTGGTGGTAATATTATAATTTATATCACAACAAAAAAATTTTAAACATTTTTTTTTGCTTATAAATATTGTATATATTAGAGGCTATCAATAAAAATCTGTAATATCAACTTTGAACTTACAAATATCATCCACCATTAGTTAATTAACAACAATAACAAGCATTCGTTAAATATATATATTAAATTTTATATGGGAGGTAGAATGGATAATTTTAAGTTGAAAAATATATGATGAAAAAATAGTGAGATGCTGGAAAATATCAAAAAGAATAAAAAATAGTAATTGTGAATTTATATAAAACAATCCATTTATAAGATAGTTTGGTGAAGATTCATATGATTTTGTTTATAAGTTATTTTTTTTTTCTTAAACTGATTTATTAACAGTTTAATAAATATTTGATTGGTGATAAATGTAATATTTTTGTTGTAAAAAAATACATGTGAAATATATGAGCATATTAGCCATGACAGATAACTAACTTGGGTGGATCAGATTGAATAAGAGCTGCCAATGAATGGTTTTAGTTATTATTTGATTG